CATGTGCGCCTCACTGCTTTACCTTGAGTAACTATAGTGAGGCGCACATGAAAGTGCGGGTTGCGAGAAAGCGGATATCACATTGTTTTTATGCTAATTTGACAGGCGAAAAAGGTAGGCGAAAAATTCCCGCTCCTCCGTCCTCCGATCACTTTCCATAAACATATCTTGCGCAATGTGAATTACAATGGGTCAAAATATATGTGGCCCATGCATTTGGGTGGGCTTGGTGCGCCTTGTTCGCTCAAAACAAATCCGACCCATCCATTTGCTGGGCTTGCTGGCCCCTGTTCGAAATAAACTCCGCCACTTCGATGAACTTGGTGGGCCTTGATTAATATCACCCAGGGGGGCCTGGTCTGAACCCGCTTGCTCGCAATCGGGCTATACAACGCGTACTCATTTTTTTTCGAACTGAAGTGACGTCAAGCAACATGCTGGGTCGTTTCGCTTTCGACGCCATTCCGTCGGCCTCGTTTGTTGGTCTGCCAAACTCTGCGGCGCATGCTACAGAACGTCCTTCCGGCTCTTCTTCTGGCGCGCCCAGCACCAGCACGCCTTCACAGTCTTTGGCGTCCTCTGCTCTGCCTGCTCAGAAGAAACGGAAACAAATCGCGCTGCACATCTCAGACTCAGAATCAGAAGACGATGATCTCGACGACAACAAGGGCGACGATGAGAATTACCTGGATGATGAGCCCCTGCGTGCTCTGGGAACCGGCACAACCAACACTGTTCCTAGTACACCTACTCCTTCATCTACTGCTATTTCGTCTACTACTGCTTTGCCTTCTTCAGTTATTCAACGCGCATCTACGGATTGGATGTGGGGGCATTACAAACTCACCCGAAAGTTCCCTCACTGTGTAACTGAGCCTGAGTGCAAGATTATAATTGCAACGTGTACTGTTTTGGGCTGCAGGTATGGGTGACTTATTTGAGATGTACCGTTTACGGAATTTAAAAACCAAACAGAGATACAAAAGCCGGGGGGCTCGCAAAATGCTACCAGCTCAAAGACGGAAAATCATCTGGAACCTCCACCGCCAAGAACCACCTGCTCAAGGCACATGACATCAAGGACCCACACAATCGACCAGAGCCGGCCGGCGGCAAGGACGACTCTGCTGCCGTCAAAAGTGTGATGCTGCGCGACTTTATTCATCGCGGGAGAGCTGAACCGCCTCCTTTGCCGAAGGTGTGTATCTGTTTACGTCACTCTACTTGGCGCATCTAATATTTCTTTTTCCAGACTTTCAACCTCACAATTCTGAGACGGGAGAATATTTTCTGGATGTGCGGCACGAACCAAGCGTTCAGCGTGTTTGACCACGAATTCGTTCGCCGCCGTGACCTGTATCTTAATTCTGAGGCCAAGCCAACGTCTGCCAGTTCCGTGAAACGGCTCTTCTTGGACATGTTTACTGAATACGATCAGCAAATTGGAACTATGTTTGAGGTTAGCTCAATTCCCTAAATCTCCCAAAACTAACGTTTAATTTTTTCAACCAGAAACTCGATACAATGGTTGCGCTCTCTCTCGACGGATTACCAAGGACATCCTGTGTGTCATCGTGCATTTTGTGGACGATCATTGGAATTTGCGCGAACTTATCTTGATGTATGATGAAGTGAGAAGCAAGACTGGTGTGTGTTTTTTGCTATATGTTTCGTGTTCCGTGGGCTAATACGTTAGCATTTCAGGGGCGAATATGGCCAATGTAATCATGAGGACTGTTTTCAAGAAAAGGCTTCAACTGAAGGTATTTAATTCTCAACGCTTTGATGTTGCTTTAATTGTTTATCAACAGATTCAATCCATCACGCGAGACAACGCTTCAAACAACACGACCCTCTGCGACACGATCGAAAAGACACTTCCATCATTTGATTCCAAGCATTACGACATTCCATGCGCGGCTCACGTGTTGAACCTTGGCTGCCAGCATGCACTTGCGGCGTTGAGGGGAGAGTTGGACGTTGTTGAGGTTAACGATCCTTATGGTGATTTGGAGGATGATGACGATCTCCTGGATGAAGACTATCAAGATGGGGAGGATGACATTGACGAGGACGAAATCGACGCTGTTGCATCGCGAAACTGGTCAGCAAAGGATTCGATCAAAAAGGTGAGCTTTCGTTTCGCAAATGGCGCCAATTTTTTATTTTTTTATTCCAGATTCACGTCATTGCCACGACGATCCGCCGTAATGCGAACAGACGCCGGAAGTTCATTGAAGCATGCTTGTCTGTCGGTATCTCCAAGCCGCTCGTCCCACTTGCAGACATGGAGATTCGCTGGAACACGGTTCTCTATATGCTGCAGCGTGCGTTCAGCCAGAAAGATGTATGTGCTTTTATTTCCTTTTTCCTTCTTATGAAGTTGCGCACAGGGGGTGGACGCGTACCTGCCCAGCGACGACAAACTGGGTCGACTCTACCTTACACAAGCCGAATGGGCGTTCATTGCAAAGCTCATCGAATTCCTGTCTCTCATGGAAGAAGTGACCCGCGACCTGAGCGCAAAGAGTCAGCCAACGATTTCGAAAGTCCTCCCGCTGTTCCAGTTGATTGAAGAGCAGATGGAAACGTACGAGGCGTCTCGTTCTGGTACGTACTTCAACTCACATTTGGCGTTCGCTCATTTTCTATTTTTAGATGACCAAGGCGATCGCCTCCTTCGAAGCGCTGCTTCCGCATTCATGGACAAAATCAGTCATTATCTCGATACTCGCATGGTTGGAGATGCGTACTCGTTCGGAATCAGTGCGTAGAAAACCCCCCCCCCTTTCCTTCTGTGTGTTTCTTCTCACTCATTGCATTCCCCCATGTCTAGTTTGCGATCCAAACTACAATGTGGCCCGGCTCGAAACTCTTCCCCGGCTTGCACCAAATCTCGACGACATCAAGACTCGTTTCCATGCGCTGTGCAAGACTTATGTATTGGCCTCTACGGAACCTGCCGAAGTACTTGCCATTACAAGAACCACCTCTTCTGCGCTTGCGCGGTCTGTTGGAAGAAGAGCTGACGTTGGTGAGTTCTGCTCATGTTTGGTTTCTGTGTTGTGGTTGTCCTGATTTACCTTGGTATGCAACAGGCTCGGATCTCCGTGGCGCAACAGCTCTTGATGCGGAAATTGCACGATATTACAGTACTCTGCCTCCCGTCAATAATGGCTACGCGGATCCATTACAGTGGTGGAAGGTATATATTTTTTGGCGTTTCATTTTGAGCAAATCTAACGCACTTTCTTCAACCAGTTGAACTACCAGCAGTTCCCAATCATCAGCAAAGTTGCCCGCAAGCAGCTTGCCGTCCAGTCGACAGAAGTTTCTTGTGAGCGTCAGTTTAGTGTCGGGAAGATGATTGTGAGCCCGCAACGGTGCAGTCTTGCTTCGGATACAATGCGAAAACTGGCTCTCATGAAGAACTACTCCAACAACCTCGACTTGTTCAATCTCTCGCCTATTGTGGAGAAGGAAAGTGGTTGAGCACTGTGCCGGTACTGGGTGTTATATTTATTTATTGGAAATATACGCTTATTCTTTTTGTAATTTGTTCTTGCAAACAAAGCTGAGTTGGTGGGATGCCTCGGAAGCGGTTGAATGGGATAACAGCGAAAGGCCCGGCCCAAAAAAATACGTCAAGTTGTCAACTTCACGCCCAACTTGCATTCTCCAATACCGTTTGCGCGAGCATAGATCGACTCAGCAGCTCACAAAATGCATTTTCCTTTCATTCTCCTGCCACGTTACAAGGTAGCCAGACCCAATCGCCACCCAATCATTTGCCTTTTCACCTGTCACAAACTCTACACTCCAAAAAGCGCCCCACTAACACCAAGCTTACAGTCGGGCATACGGAAGCAATCATAGAACTCGGACGACACATATATCCAACCGATCCGTTTACACGGTTCAGGAGCGGATCGGAGCGGATTCGTTTCTCGAATCCGGACTGCGATCCGCTCCGTATGTGTAATGACGCCGGACCGGAGCGGATCCAATCACAAACCCCGCTCTTTATCCGGACCGGCGAGCCCTAAGGCATTTCCAAAAAAGGGGGGTCTGAGTAATTGCGCGGATGTCTGATTCGCGTAGTGATCTCTTTCAATCACAAGGACAAGCCAAAGAGACTCCATCCGCTTCGAGAAGCTCATCACGTTGCCATTGGCTGATCCCAGGGACAAAAAGCACGCGCATTAAAACGACAACGGCAGGACTTGAACCTGCGCTCCCAGAGGGAAATGCATTTCGAGTGCATCGCCTTAACCACTCGGCCACGTTGCCATGTTATCAGAAAGAATATGATTATTATATTAAATTTCTAAGTATGACTAATGGAGCTGGGGGAGATTATGACTCATGGTGGACTTGTAGAAAGTTGACAATTTCGATTTTTCCGTGATCCTCTCGAAAGAGTCTCTCATCAGTCAGCATGCTGCCCACGTACGATACCACCTTGGATGAAATTATTAATCCGCACGCCAGCCTCATTGCCGAACTCACGACCCTCCGATCCGAAGTCTTGAAACAAATGGACGCGATGCTGTTCCGACTTCAACTCACTGCAGGTGGATCCGCGTCCCCTGCCGTGACCCCCCCAACCGTCGATATGCCAGTCGAGGTCTCTGCTATTGGGGTGCGATACATCCCGAGCACGGTCGCGAGTCAGGACAAACACGTGAAATCGACGCGCAAAGCGAACCGAGCGTCAACTCACTCGATCCTAAAATCGCATCTTGATCTCGGGATCCATTGGAATGATGGAGATTATCGCAACGAGTCGAGTCAGCCTGTTCCGATTTTCAGTGAATACATGAAACGCGGGAGCACGAGTCAACAGTTGGATGCTGTCGCGTCTAAAAAGGATCGGGCCCAGATGCCGGCGAAAGCGAGCTCCTCTAGTATGAGTCTCGTGCATCAAATGTTCAAGTCGAGCAGCAAAAAGTCGGAAGGTGTTGGTGGATTGGATTCGAGAAGCTCCATCTCGGGTCGAAAAGGATTGCGAACTTCCCTTACTGCAATCAAGGGCCAAATCAGAGGTGCTCCTGTTACTGCGGTTCAACGACGAATTCGTAATTTTTCGATGGGATCCAGACCGACTTCGTGGGCCGCCGGTTGTGACCCACCCGCCACAACAATCACTGTTGAAGACACTGATTTTGAGAATATGTCGCGTCAGCTTTCGTTGGGGGGTCACTTGGGTGCGCCAAAACTTAACATGATTCCTGGGTCGATTGGTGCTTCTCGAGTCAAAATTGACGACATTATGGAAGTCCCAACTCCGCCGTATATGTCGCCATCAGATAGCCCAGTCGGAATCTTCAGACCCGCGCATCATGCAGGACCTCAAGTTCTCGTATCCATATTTTTGAATACGACCCAAGATGAGAATCAAGGA